GTATGCAATGCTTGTACTCATTGTTTAGACTGACATTAAATAACGGACAAGCTGAYGTGAACTTTGAATTTCAAACAGATTTCAGCGACTGGAACTTGCTTAGGTTGTTTATGCGTAGCGATATCATTCCTCTTTAAGGTTTACTTCTAGCTTCTATCTGTCATAGAATTTGGTGCCCCCGCTAGCTTTTAAAGATTCATCATCATATTCTAAAAGGACACTTATTTTGAATATGCAGGATTTACAACTATGGGAATCTGGCTCTCCCATTTTGGCTCTTGTCGGTGTACTGGTAATGTTGATTAATTATCCTTTGTAATTATCTTTCCGGTCTTATTCTTCTTTTGGATTAGTCATTTTTTCTCTTGTTAGGTCTTTAGTCATTGTATCGGCTCCCTTCTTTAGGCTGTGGTTTTCTGTAAGTTCTTTCTGTGTTCTTTCATTTTTCTCAATGAAAGCCTAGTTTTCATCAGGGTAGAAAAAAAGGTCGATCAATATAGAAATATAAGCACGACTGTCCTTTCTTCTTTCTTTCCATGCAGAATTTGGCGAACTAAAACTTGATCCAAAGTTGGATTCTTGGTTTATTGTTATTCTCATTGTTCTAAAATAAGAGAAGTTGTTGCATCATCTCTTAACATTATGTTACCACTTCTTTATGTTCAGGGAGGCATATTGAATAATTAATTGACCATGAAAAATACCATATTTCTTTACAAACTTGGGAGCTAGTAGACTCATTATTTGTGTACTTTGTTCTGCATCTGCACTTAAATATGGATTAGTTCTCATTAATTTTCGTTTGTCTCGTATTCGTTACTATTGGAGTCCTTTTGTAATTTTTCTCTCTGGACTTTGTTATTTCTGCAAACAGACATTCTCTGGATCTTTCTCGTTGGGCATGGGAGCAATTCCTTGGGTGATAATGTCAGAGGTATGAATGTTTTTTAAGTGCAGATGAAAACATGAAGGGCATATTTGTTAGAATTTTGGTTTTAGTTTTCTGTTCTTAAAAATCTTCCTTGTATACCTGTACATAATTTTCTTTTCTTTGTAGAGGACTTTAAAGGGGATGAGTTCAAAATCAGACTACACCTTTTTGTTTCTTATCAAAAAAAAAAATAAAAAAATCAGTCACTACCTACCCAGAATTTAAAATCATAAAAATTTATTTGGGAATCAAATGTAGTAGGATGAGTCAGTTGTCTTTGGCAATCAAATGTAGTAGGATGAATCAGTTGTCTTGTGCGATTAGTTGAGGTGCCCCATTTGATTTGGACACCCAGAGATATTTATATATGTTGTTGCTTGAATTGATTCATTGCAATTTCTTCTTCTTCTGCAGATATTTCCTATAAACATGAAGGGTTTGGCAGGCAGCATGGTTGCTTTAGTGAGTTGGCTAGGTTCATGGATCGTTTCATACTCCTTCAACTTCCTTTTGGATTGGAGCTCTACAGGTTTTTATTATTATTATTATTATTATTATTACTACATTAACGAGTAATTTGGTGTTTTTGTTGACTTTTGGAAGGTATCTTTTTCATATTCTCAAGCGTTTGTGGGTTCACAGTATTGTTTGTTGCAAAGTTTGTTCCTGAAACAAAGGGAAGAACTTTGGAAGAAATTCAAGCCGCCATGAACCCTATATCTAAAGGTTGAATTCTGGAAATTTTTTTTTTGGTTGCTTCTTACAAATAATTCATATGAATCCGTAATTACCCTTTTTTTTATTTTAGTTAATTCAAACATTGATTCACACATTGGATGTTACTTTTCAATGATAATTTTTGTGGAATTGTAATGTGATGATTGCATAAGACAAATAAAAGTACTTAAAAAGTGTTTAATACTACCTTTTTTCGAACTTTTCAGAAGCTTTTCAAAATGTCAGTATAAAATATAAGTATCCACAACAAAAACATATTTATCATAATAAAATTGATCATTATCTTTTATAATATTATATGTCGATGTAAATGGAAATATCGAGTCTTAATTTTATAGAAATATTGATAAATTGTTAATGTCAATGGATATTTCTAAAAAATTATAAATATAAAAAATTTATATTAAATATTTAAAATAACAAAGGATAATTTCACTTTTTTAAATAAGTTAAAATTTATTAATATTAATATTTTATCMATCTCAGTAATATTTTGTTGATATTTTTTATATTTTGTCAATATCTTTGATACTATGCAAAAATATCAATGCAACCTTCCCTATCGATGTCAAACCSAAGACCATATAGAAAATATTGATAGAAATGTTGATATGTTGACAAAAATTTAACACTCTTGCAAATTGATTAGATTATCATTCTTATACAATTTGGTTTGACCATATTTTGGAGATACCCAACCTACCTTTTGGTAACAAAATCTTTTTGGGAGGGGAAATGATTTTTCCTCAATCTAATTTCGGAGGGGTGAAGAATAGACCCTATCCCTGTCCTCCTTTCCAAATTCTATGATAATGTTAGACTAGATTATAAGTTTGATCCAAAAAAGATAGTCTGAAAACTTTGCCCAAATGAATAGATACAACCAACTTTAAAAAATTCCAGAACTTATTAGAAAATTTTAAAAGTACAAGAACAAATGGTTAGAGACCAATTTGTCCAATATGTTTTACACAAACTAAAAAATATTTTAAAAGAGAGAAGTTTTCTTGTTTGGTAGGCAAAGGAAAATGCTTTTGTTTTGTCTAAAATTTGAAAAGACAGTTTTCTTTTACATCTTATCCTTTGAGCACTTCATGCCTTATCCAAGCAACAAGCAAAGCAAGTTGTTTGGTTCTCCGTTGGGCTAATTCAATTCATTTGTCAAATATTACAGCTCAATACAGTAGTCTCTAATATAATTTGGATATTTTCTCGATTCAGTCCATTTTATTAATATATATTTTTTTTAGTCTTACAACAATAAAAGAAAAAAATGCCAATTAAAATAGGGTAAGGCTACTTCTCAAAATAATAATAATAATAAGGTTAGAGAAGAAGACATCCACGATTTAGAGTCATTGACCAAATTTGGCTTACTTCACTTCCCAAGTACTTGGAGGTGATTTCTCACCATCTACGTGTCGACATATGATATACTCAACAGTGATGAATCAGTATAGTGATTCATATGAAAACCTAACGGTCGCAACTCATGTTCCATACCAAGCCGACTAGAGTCTCATACTTTGCCGCCTGAGTTATTGATAACTCTCCATAAGAGAGTTAATTTTGTATGAAAATCACCTAGAATGGCTAAGGATGTTCACATTAGCACCCAATTCATCTTTATTTCATCCTCCTGTGTTTTGAGTTTCAAAGCAACTCACAATGTTAGTTGATGTTGTGATTTATGTGATATATCATAACTTTGAATGTTTTGGCGTAGGATTGTTGATGTTGTTGCCTTGGAATCAAAAAGTCAAAATAGGACAGAGCTGAAAGCGATTGATTGTTACTCACAGACTTATTGCAAAAAACTCAAGTGCTTCGTCTCCTGTTTTTACTGTAGTAAGTCTGTTAGTAACAATCTGTCGCTTTCAATTCTGTCCTTTTAAAAAACAACAAATTGCTTATCCCCGATTAGTCGAGCTGAGTCGAAACTTATACATTGGTTGCCTAAATCATAAGCCGAGCCAACCTATACTTATTTCTGCATCTATAAAACTTTGACACAATCCACGACAACACGCTATGATTCTCAGGCTGTCGGAGAGTCGTCAGAGCTATGTTGGAAGCTCCACTTATAAACAAAGACCTTTCACCTCATTTTAGCTATGTAAAGCTATATTCTCTATTGAGTATAGATCAACCAACTACTAACTTAAGCGTAGGAGCGCTGATCCCCTACTTGCATCACTTTAGTTTGTTTAGGAGAATCAACTCGTTCGTTGCGGACCTTCAGAGGCTTGGTCAAATTCTGGATCATTCTTGAGTATTTGTCTAAAAACTCTAATTATTATGGATGAGATAATTAAAGAAAGACCGAGAGAACATACCAAAGCTGACAAACAACAAGTTAGTAGTTGAATATAATGTCTAAGACTGAAAAGAAAACAACCCCATGGGCTAACACACCCACAGGCGGTCTGGTCGGTCCTCAACTGACCACCCTGTGGTCAACTCGCCCACGATCATTCTGGTTGGTCCTTGGTCGACTAGTTCGTGGGAGGGTCAGCCTTGGATCATGGTCCACAGTAAGTTGACTAGGTCGAAGCTCGAATAAAAGTGACATAAAGATGCCTCGAATTTAAAGACTCTCTTGATAAGAGATAAAAAGGTTGCAAACTTCGAGATCCAAAGAATTTATGGAATTCAAAAGAGATAGAAGTGATAAGCCTTGATTAAAGGCTAAAAAGAATAGGTTTGTATACTTAGTTGATGGTTATTTGAGATGAAAAATGTATGTTCATGCATATAATTTAGAGAAAATGTACATATTTTGTGATTAGGGACTTTGGAATTTAGTTATAGGTAAATGAAGGCTAATTTGTATAAATATGTTTATTTTGTGAGGAAAAGTGAAGATTAATTATCACAATGTGTCAGACACATCGCATGTCCAGAATTTCTAGCTTATTAGAGGAATGCACCACCAGTCCTGATAAAGGAACTAACTCAATTATGCATGAGAACTCCCTTATACAAGGTGAACCCCCACAACAATAATAAGAATAACCCCAATAACAAGATGATGAATCAATCCCAAGAAAGCTAAACATATTTGTGCTTGGAAAAAATGATCAATGATCAAGAATAAAGGAGAACTTGTTCCTATATTCAAGATTTCGAACTCTTCACAACCTAATTGATCAAATTAGATTGAAAGTTCTAAACATGCATTCTAAACACAAGAATACAAAGAAAGCTTAAAGCTTGAGAGAGATTAAACTCAATCTGAAATTTTCATTCATCAAATGTTGTGTTTGAAAAGCAAATGTACATCCCTATTTATAGTAATTCAAAAGACATAATGAAAAGACACAAACCTTGGATGAAAAGACACAACCCTTGAAAAATACATAATAAATTAAATATGTGGATGAATCTGGATTTTTAGATTCATGAAGTTTCTTAGAGGACAAGATGTCTTTTCAAGCTTGAAGGGATGCAACTCTTCACCAAGTGTGAACACCTTAGCTTGGAAGTGACCATTCAACCTTTTTTTGTAGTCTTTTAGCTCTAGCTCTTGTGATTGGACCTTGTGGCATAATGATTGGCTCATGATTGGGTTGACTTTGAGCATAAGCTTCATTTGAGCTGATTTGAGCTTCCTCCTCTTGTAGGCTTTCCTCGTACACTCCGTGATCACTCATTTCTATATCAAGTCCTTTGAAAGTTCCAACTTCATAATGCTTCAGCCATATTTGATGTCTAGATAATCAAAACATGAATAGCCACTTTTAACGAAGTAATTGGTCAAAGCTGTGATCTCTACAACAACGAGTAGTTACCAACTTCCCATGGAATTTTCCACATTTTGATACCTCTCGAGCCTATATAATGAGCTTTCATGGATCACTTCAAGACATCTCATTTTTCATGCTTTTGTTCTTTCTCTCTACTTTATTATCAACTTTAGTTTTTAAGTTTAGTTCTTCAATTAATTTTTCTGCAATTACTCTTGTTTATTTTATTGCAATTTAAATTGTTCCATTTTGTACTTTCTTCCCAATTCTAATTAAAATGCACTCTTTTGTTATCTTCTCTTGTGTTTTCATTTCTTTCACTACCATGAGTAGCTAAATTGCTTCTTCAATCCTCCTACGAATGATTTAATTCATCTATTTTAAATTACATCTATCAATGAGCACGGCGTATTACGCTCTCTTTACTTATCTTGATTGATACAATTTATCTAGTTGATTTTTTTGTTGGTCACTTGTTTAAATCACATTATTTTGAATTTAATTCTGAAAAGGTTAGAGACAAACTGATTTCATGAAGGTAAAACGAGAAGTTACTTAGAAATAAGAACTAAAACAGGATCCTAGACATAGGCTCTCTTACCCGTTAAACGTAAGTTGGAACTTGATTTATTTAGGATTCTAGAGTTTCATAGATATATGTAAACACTAGCCTAAGCTTCTAAATGAACCAAAAGTGGAATGGAATAGAAGTTGAACCAGTTTGCATAAATTGAGCTTTAACTACAGGCACATTTGAATGTGTAATTCATATTTTAGAACTAAATCTTAGTAGGGGGTTGACTTTTTAATCCTTGTGTTTTTATTCCCAACAATTTCACCAATTTTTATCCCAATCCCGATTGCTCATTAAAGTAATTTACAAAATCAATTTTAAAAGAAAACTAGTCCCTGTGAAGACGAACTTAAAATATTTCCAGATTATTACTTGTGACAGTGTGCACTTGCACTTACCCTCTAGCTATTAAGCAGAGGCGCAACAAGAAGATATCCTAATAACTTTAGGTTTTCACTTATAAGTAAAGAGTGAACACTCATATGTTGAAAAATCTTACTTTTAGCTAAGCTTTACGAAAAGCTCAATTCTAATTTAGGCATCAAAGTGTGTGTGGTTAGTACCATAATGAGTGTGTTATTCTATTTGGTATTGCAGGTCATCCATTTTTAAATTGGTGTGAATTTGACAATTCAAGTAATCCAAATTTACGCATCAACACTAACAATGACTTTTTAAATCGCTACAACATTTTTTTTTTCAGAAAAAAGGAACTGGATCATTTTTATGGTTCAAGATCAAATTGTTAAAATTATCTTTTTCGAGGTTTAAGATCAACCTTTACAAAAAATTTTTTTTTTTAAAATATAAGAACAACCTCAAGAACTATCCCAAACAATAGATATACAAATTTGTTAAAAAAATATCTTACAAATAGAAGTCCCCAAATCGCTTTAAAAAATAACAAATTCAAGTTCAAGGTGCTAAAAAGTGGTAGGGGTAACTCTTCTTTTTTTCCTTTTTTTCTCCAATTTCCCTTCAATTTTTTAATTTAAATAGGGGAGAAAGAGTTAGACTATTGTGCCATGTGTCATCTTGTGATTGGCTACAAAAATCAAATTAAAAAAACAACAAATACAATGATGTCAAATAAGTAAAAAAAAAGGCATTTAATGCAAATTAGAAAAAAGGCAAAACAAAAAATGTCATAAAATCTTGTCTATTGTGCCATGAAAGCCCCAAAAAGAAGGAGCATTAAATGTTGGGAGGAGAGCCGTTGTCTTGTCTTTTTCTATTTTTAATACTCAAACTTTGTTGATCGGCCACATGTCTAAATTTCATCCAATGATCATCTTTTTTGATCAAAGAACAACGTTAGATATAGGCATATAAACTAAAATAGAAATGTCACATTCAATCATTTTCACAAAACAAATCTCAATTTAAATTTTGATTTAGTCTTGACCGTTCAAATATGATGGGTTTATGAAATAACATTATGCTCATAAAATATTAACAACAATAACAAAAAATTAAGATAAGTATTTGTTATTATCACAACACTAATCCGTTATTAATTTTAATTAATTAATTAATTAAAAATTAAGGGAAAAAAAACCAATGATACTAGAAGCAATGAACACTAGAGGAGGAGAAGAAGAGAAGAGAAGACAAATAAAAAAATAACAAAGTTGCTTAAGGAAAACATAATATTAAATTAATAAAAATTTACACCTCGCACTAAAATATTAAAAATAGTCACCTCAATGTGCCTCGTCATTTCTTCGTTAGTTAATTAAAAACAACTTTGTTGGAGGTGATGCCAAGTATAGCTTTGTAATAGTTGGCAACTACTCCTCCCTTTGAGGTTGGAGATACAAGTTTTAACCCTTCAACGTTCCTTGGTTTGGATCCGAGGCTCCCGATCATTTTAATGCTGCAGTATAGCCCTCCTTTTATGTTCACCTCAAATCATCATTATATCCATCATCATTGGATACTTCATCATTTGATGGAATGTTGAAGGAACAAATTGGAGTGTATGAATAATGTTTCGATCGAGTATGACATTGTAGGTCGAAGTTCGATCAATGACGATGAACTCAACCACCTTCATTATTTGAAATTATCTTCACCGATAATGTAGGCAAATATATACATCCCTCAGGCACCACTATTTTGCCAACAAATCCAACCAACAAGGTCAAACACTTCTTAAGTTGAGTTCTTTTCATGCCTAAGGTAGCATATGTGGAAAAGGACAGCACGTTAGTAGAAGCTCTTTTGTCGACCAATATACGTTGGACCTTGACATGGTCAATGTACGAGACAATAACTAGAGCATCATTATGAGGCATATGGATGCCCTCCATATCTTGGTCGTTAAAGATGATGGGCATGATCGATTTYTTGGAGTACAAGTATAAACCTCGTGTGCAGCTTCTCGAGCTAAAGCTTTTCTTTTATTTTTCTAATTGACCCCACTTCGACCATTGAAGATTGTGTTGATGACTAGAGGTCAATCATCATTATGCCGAGGCCGCGATCTAGACCTTTCTCTGTTTTTATCCTTCATCATCTTGGTCGACTTGAATTGCTTGGTGCATAAGGTTTATCAAATACCTCAGGTCATTTCCCTTTCATTGGGTCGCATGAAATTGATGACTATGACATCTCAATTCGCCTAAGGTTTTGACGATCTTGCTCCATGRCCTACATTCTCACTCTAATCTTGACCATTTCAGCTACCATGGCCATTACGAGGCTCAGAGGGCGGTCGATGGTTCGACCAGAGCGACCACCTCAATTTCCCCAAGTTCATTAGGGGYATCCTAAAATTGGGAGGTCAGTTTAGATGACCTATGCCTGAGGAGCTTTTGTCCCTTCCTTCACGGCATTGTGACCATTAGTCACATCCGTTGAGGTTCCAATGACTTGAGAATTGAGAGGAAGGATTGGGTGTCAACCTCAGTGGCTAGCGATGCTTGATTCTTGAGAGCGTGCTTGATTCATAGCTCGATAGGGAATAACTTAAGTTTTGTCTTTTCGCACAGATAAAGCCAAATGGTTGATTAGAAAAATGACGTGAAGCTTGAACTCGGGTAGCCAACAACAATCGCACATAACCTGCATAGAGAGAAAAAAAGGATCTAATGTTCGAGTCAGTTTAAATCCAATCTATACTCAAAGAGAGAATAGTTTCGTGTACCTAGAAATTGAACTGGGTTCTCTCTATTTATAGGTTTTGGAGCCCCGATATCGCTTATTAAACTGTTACTAGCGCTCCATAAATCGCAGCATGTTGCCTAAAAAGCGGTTATAGGTAGCGACGTAAAGTACTATGATCGTTAGCTCGTCTCAAGGATGATGAACTGTTGAGAGCCATATCGGTTGRCTTGACCCTTGTGAAGTTCTAGGCAACTGATCTCTTATACTTCAGCTCAGCCTTCATGAAGTACCGACCTACTTATTTTCATTTTCAAAATTCAATCTTTAGATAGAGTCGTTATAATGACTAGGTGTGTTATGTTGTAATCTATCAAATGTTGTCCCGTGGCGTCCGAATCAACCCTCAACATCAACCTTTAGAATCTTAGTTTCTAAAATAAAAATTGTCATAGCATTAAATATTAAACAATGAAGAAATATACAAAAACAAAAAAAAAGGGAAATTAAATATTGAACGAATAGAATAAGCTGTCAATGGAATCAACCCCCTCCCCAGCACATAAAATCTTAAAATTGAAGGAAAAAACAAAAGGGAAGAGAAAAGAAGGCGGCTATAAATAAAGGGAGAAACTGGGAATGGCGAAAATCAATTCTTCCCACCGAACAAATTCACAATTCAAGACACAGCAATCGAATTTCAATCCACCAAACTTCTGTTTCTCAATTGAGAATTCTGTTCGTTTCTGCAGCAGGAGGAGGAATTTGGATCCAATTCCGACCCCCAAATTTAGAATCCGATGCGACCGGAGATCGAAACCGACCAGAATCAAAGCCACCGGAAGCCGCTCTCCGTCCTCCCAAAGCGCATAATCTTGGTCCGCCACGGCGAGTCTCAGGGGAATCTCAACTCCGCAACTTACACCACAACCCCCGACTACAAGGTTCCATTAACCGAGGACGGCGTCATTCAGGCTCGATTCGCCGGCTCCGAGCTCCACCGATTGCTCTCCGATGACGGGCGGAACCCTCATTGGCGTGTCTACTTCTACGTTTCTCCCTACGAGCGCACCCGATCCACGCTCCGGGAGATCGGCCGCTCCTTCTCCAAGAAGAGGATTATCGGAGTCAGAGAGGAGTGTAGGATCAGGGAACAGGATTTTGGGAATTTTCAAGTCGAGGAGAGGATGAAGGTCGTCAAGGAGACCAGAGAGAGATTTGGGAGATTCTTCTACCGCTTCCCGGAGGGGGAATCCGCCGCCGACGTTTACGATCGCGTTTCCAGTAAGTTCTTCTCATTTTGCCCTCTCATTTTCTTTGCATGATTCCACCTTTTTTTTTTTTTATTTTGAAAGGAGAAATTAGGTTTAAAATCAAGCTCTGTTTCTTGCTCTCTGATGCCTCTGGTGTAAAACTGTTGGATACATAATTTTGGTTTATATTATACCTCTTTTACAATGCATTCTTATTTAGTTATATGCTGTGCTTGAGAAATGGTTTAATGGGTTATGCTGGAGTAGAAGTCGAGCAAGTTTGGTATGTGAGTCTAGCTTTTGTCTCGGGTTATGTTCTGTTGATCTCAAGATGTTATATAAATTTGAGCACTTTTTATACTAAATGCTAACCTTTACACATCATAAAACCATAAACACTTCCCTATTAGCAAATTGGAAGTGTTTCATGTAACCCTTGTAATTTCATACATCAATGACATTGTTTCTTTCTCTAAAAAAAAAAAATAAAACCATAAACACAAACTCTCTGGTCCTATTGCTCATCATTTTGTACATGAATTGTACAAACTCAGACTTTCCAATTTCATACTCCAAAAAACTTGGACTTCTTAAAATCGTTAGCCAAACATTTCTTTTGAATTTTCCTGTATGAGACGGCACACTTGCTCTTAGATTTTACAGGGATTTTGGGGATATTGATGAAAACCTTCCACTTTCTGAAGTATGATAATCTTGGACCAGCTGTAGAGGTGTAATCTCATGACTATCAGTTTCATATTATGCTGGTAAAGATAGATACTGGAATGGCTGAAAAGAATAATGAAGAGAGAAGATGGTAACCAAAGGGCGTTTGTGTTCTATAGTTTTTCTTTTATGGAAAACTGAACTTTGGTTGAGAAGAACGAAAAGATATAAAAGGGTATACAAAAAGACTGCCCAACACGAGGACATGCCCAAATAGTGTTTGTTACAAGGTTTTATCACCATTTGAAGAAAACGTGTGAAACACTGAGTTTTTGTTTGTATTCAATGTTTCATATTTTATCTCTAAAGACAGATCAGTATCAGCTGATAAAGGAATGTAAAAGGCCAAAGAAAAATGGAGGCTGAGGACATGAGCATATGATTTAAGAGAATTGAATATTTAAAATGTTTCTTTGATATTGGAGAATTGGGATTCCCTACTATTGAAGTTGAAATTAACTTTTCTTTCAAATGGACCATCAGTTCATTCTAAAATATTTTATAATAGAGAAAGCAGTTTTCATTTAAAAGATAAAGCAGTATTAGAAGTAGCCATCATAATGTAGTTGACACTTTTATAAACGTTAGACATGCATGAGAGATATAGAAAATATATATAATTGTGCCACTTGTTTAATAATTTCTCTAACTATAATGGTATATTATTGTGTACCACAGTTTAGAAGTATACTTTACAAATTGAGGAATCGAGATACATCAACTTATTATCATGTAACTAAGTCGTTGCTCGTTAGCGTCTTAAACATGAGTTGTTGTGGGACATTGCTTATTCTTCTCATTTTTTGATGCACATGAGATGAGATCAAGGGTGGTGTGTTGAAATAACTATCTTGAGGAACGCATTGGTATTTTTCAGGCTTCCTTGAGTCGTTATGGAGGGACATAGACATGAACAGACTCCGCCACAACCCTTCCCATGACCTCAACCTTATAATCATATCTCACGGCCTAACGTCACGTGTCTTCCTCACAAAATGGTTCAAATGGACGGTCAAGCAGTTCGAGTACCTGAACAATCCCGAAAACTGTGAGTACCGGGTGATGCAGTTGGGACAAGGCGGGGAATACAGCTTAGCCATTCATCACACAGAGGAAGAAATGCTGGAATGGGGACTCTCCCCTGAGATGATATCTGATCAGAAATGGAGAGCAAGTGCCCACAAAGGGGAATGGAATGAAAGGTGTCCTTGGTATCTTGATGCTTTCTTTGATAATCTAGCTGACTCGGACGACAACGATAACTGTGACGAACCATGTCACGATCACGATGAACTACTCGAATCTTGTCCAAGTGATGAACTAGTTGAATCTTGTCCAAGTGAAGTTCTCGTAGAGGAATGACAATTAAATTGAAATTCTTTCAATCTGATATGTACCATGCTGTCTTTTGCTTATAGTGTTCTTGGTTTTGCTCTGTATCATTTGGGTATTTAGAAAAAATTTTCACTCTTCTATCCACAGGAACAGGACAATACTTGAAGGAGGAAAATTGTGAAGGCGACCGATGTAGTATAGTTAATTTAATTTAGGTTAAATTATACCGATGTAGTATAGTTAATTTAATTTAGGTTAAATTATAAGTTTAGTCACCGAACTTTCAATTTTGTGTCAAATAACTTTATAAACTTTTATTTTTTTTTATTTTAATAGATATTTGATTTTAAAACTAGTTGAGGTCTTTGAACTTTTAATTTTATGTCTGATAGATTTTTGACGTATTTAAAACTAAATACTTGTTAATATCAATGGATCTATTAAACGAAAAATTGAATCTTGTGTCTAATAAGATCTTAAACTTTAAATTTTATGTGTACTAAGGGTTTTGTGAATCTTAAATAAGTTCGAATAATTCGAATAATTTAATGATTTATTAGACATAAAATTGTAAGTTCAAAAACTTATTATAATATAAAATTGAAAGTTTAAAGATATATTAAAGATTGTTTAAATTTAGGGATCTATGGGAATTTAGGAGTCTAGGGCACAAAGTAAAGTTAGAAAGTTCAAGACTAAATTTATAATTTAACCAAGAAATTAATATTTTTAAAAAAGAGAATTTAAGATTCTAACTATTCTTCTATTGTTTCAAAAATTTTATTTTGACCCTTAACATTCAAAATCTTTTTAAAACAATCCTTTCATTAGCTTCTCTCTTGAAACAAATATGAAACTGGACCTAGCGTAAAAAAAAATTGAAGAGTCTTAATCATATTTTGAAAAATGACATCATGAATTAAAACCTTAATAAATTAATTTTTTGACACCCCTAGTCGAATATCAAAATCGTAATTTTTGTTGAAAATAAAAACCAAAATTCATAGAATGCTATCGAAATTTGAACTTGAAAGTTAAATTTGATTAAGAAAAAGAAAAAACACACCAACACAATATAAAAGTAAATTTAAAGAATTATTCAAAAAATAAAAAATCTTTCATCCAAAAATCCAAAATAGATAGAGAGAGAGAGAGAGAGAGAGAGAGAGGTTTAAAATTCAATCTTCTTTTTGCAGTTATCTCTAAGCAAACCATACCATATGCATTACAAATTACACCAATAATTTTAATTCCCTCCAAAAAAATAAAATAAATAAATAAGAATTGCCCTTCTCACAAATAATAACCTTCAAACTCCTAATTCATCTACGAAAACAAAATTAAAATCTCTTCTTTTCCTCTGTGTTTTAAGTGGCGGCGTATAATTTTGTAAAGAAGAGAGGGAAAAAAAAGTTTCGATCGAAAAACGTACGGATATATCATGGCTCCGCCGTCGCGCCGCCGTGGGAGTGGGCGTTACCTTTGGGTTCCGCGGCTGATTTGTGGGTTCGTAATCCTCAGTTTTGGGCTCTGTATATTGACGCCGCTAGTTTTGATGAAGATGAACACCGACCGTTCGATTTCGTGTCCTTCTAGCTATTGCGATTGCTCATATCAGGATTTTCTCCCCATCACTTGCCGTATGTTCTCTCTCTCCCCCTTTTTCTATAGTTTTTTTNATAGATAAGATATCTATTACTATCGCTTTTGACCAACGTTTTAACCCCTACCTTGCGATTGTTGAACTCAAAATTTTAAAATTAAAAAAATAAAGAAAAAACTTCGAGTAAAGGATGTTTTCTTTTTTATTTTAACTATACATGGAACAGAAATTCGAACCTCCAACTTYTTTATTGATGATATATAGTTTAACCAATTTAGTTACGTTCATGTTGACAACTTTTGGAGGAAGAGCTTTGAATACTTAGCTCTATAGTTATAATGTTATATCCTTATAAATTTTTTTGTGATTTGATTTTGTTGGCTTAAAAAACACTTTTGGTGTTGGTGTCTATGTTGTTGAAGTAGTTTAACCTATAAATTTTAGTTTCTAACAATTTAGTGTTTCTGCAACCTGAACTTTAGTGGTACAATTTAGTCTTTATAATTTAAAGTATGTAATGATTTAGTTCTTATCGTAATTTTTTTTATAGGTAGATCGACAAATCCACGAGGAACTAAATATGTGTTTGTAATTTACAAAAACTAAATTATTACATGATAAAAATTAACACTTAATTTTGGTGAGATTTTTGGACTAGATTGTTATAAACTTTAAATTATAGAGGTCGGATTGTTACGTACTAAATTTTAGGAACTAAAAATTTTCTAATTTATAAGTATATGGACTGATCGTTACAAACTAAAGTTTAGGAACCAAACCATTATCTTAGGAATGACCTAATATTAACCATTTTACTTTTAGTTATTATTATTTTTTTAAGAATAAGCTAGGCATAGAAATTAGTTTCTTTAAATACTTTTAGAATAAAATTTTTAAAACCCGCAAAAAATTATAAAAAGGATATTCAACATTGAACTAATATGTTAGGGCATGTTAGGGTAAATTTGATCGTTTCAATATATATTCTAATTGTTTTTTGTTTGAATAACTCATTAGCATGCATAAATAATGTTTTGGATATGAACCAATCAAAATTTGCCACATCATTAATTGATTTATAATGATAGAATCTATTCTTACTGCAGAGTTCATCCCTTATGATAACTTATCAGGTCAGTCTACTAACTCATCCTTCATTACAATTTTATTGCAATTACAAGTGTTTCCTAAACTAATTTTCTGATTATTATTTCTAGTTTAGAAAACTATTTGGATGGATCTTTTTATTATTATTATTATTTATTTTAGTTTACTTTTTCCTAATAATTTTAATCAAGTCGAAATAGTAAATTCCAATTTATGTTTGATGCAGAATTTATTTATTGTGATCCATAAACCTTTAAAATATCTATTTTAGTCTTTAAACTTTTAAAATATTTCTTTCSAAGCAAAAACTTTTATGTTAGTTCTATTTTTGTCCCTTTAACTCTCAAAGAAGTCTATTTTGGTCTCTTAAGTTTTAGATTTCCTCTATTTTGATATCTAAACTTTACTTTTGAGTTTTATCTATTTTTGTCTCTAAGCTTTCAAAATGTCTATTTCTGTCTTTCAACTTTAAGATATATTTTAATTTGATTCTTGAGCTTTCAAATTAATTTTCTCTAAACTTTCAAAATATCTTTTTCAATCTCTAAACTTTTAAAAAACAATTATTTCATTTTTTGCTATATATATATCTTGCCACCTAATATCTTCTTACCCAATGCTCTTCTCCAATATGTTACTTGAATACATACTCAAACCAACACGTTAGTACACATATTCAAAAGCCAAACCAAGCGAACTATTTCTTTCTTTCTTTCTTTTTTTTTTTATTTGCAAATAATGTAGGAATTGATGTTGAAGTGGTAGAAGAAGTGAAGAAAGAGAGATTAAGGCTAATAAGAGAAGAGTTGGAATTAGTAAAGATTGTGAATGAAGAGAAAATGCAACACTACAAATCATTGATAGAAATTGTTGAGAAAACTTCATCACACTATCAAAAAGAGGCAGAAATGTGCCATATTGGAGTCAGCACTTGCGAGCAGGCCAGGCAGATGGCTCAACAAAACCTCGTCGAGGAGCAAAAACACACCACTTTGTGGCGAAGACGAGCTGAAATGCTTGATACACTCTAGTTCGTTTTTCCTTTTTGTCCTCCTAACTTGATTTGTCGTAAACAATGTTTTRAATTTCAATTGCCATGTTACAAATATTTGTAGGCTCAACATTGATAGAAGGGACATTCATACCTTGATTGGTTAGCATATTTCTTCATTCTAACTCTAGCTCAAAATTTAACGGTTCTTTATATTTTTTTAAAAGAAAAATAGAGAAGTTATCTCTTTTTACATTCATCTCTTCTACCTATCAAAAATTTATTAACAGTAAGTAAGAGATRTATATTAAACGATCAGCGTCTAAGTATTATTCATACAAAAAATATTAACGTAATAGTTTGTCTTGATTTGTTTTTTTAGTACAACAAATTTGGTTCCGACCGTTAAGAAAGGCGCCAAATATCTTTACGATAAGCTGTACTCATGCTTGCCCTGATTTCAAGACGTTGGACGTTAGCTTCTAAGATTTAAGAAATGCTCCATTTTAGTTGTTAACATTTGTATTTGGGTAGTCAAGTGATGTGGATTTTTCAATTGAACTCAATGGTAATGTGGAAGGTGATGTGGCAAAACTTTTTAAATTGAAAAAATTAAACTAAGGAGAAAAAAAGATCTATTGGAGTTTTTTTTTTTTAAATATTATTAAAAATCAAACTAATTCTAAAAATAATACCACTTTCAAACTAATTCTAAAAATAATGCGGATTTACCTTTTCTGGACCATCGGCAAGTTCGTTCTCCACYCTCACTCTGGTCGAAACTCCAAAGCTTAGRGACGAAGGGAAAATGTAGATTAAAGCTGTGTTCTGAATCAAAATCCCCATGGAAGCCACCGTCGATTCAGGATTGATCATGAACCCACTGAGCAAAATCATGATTTCGTACCACCACCACTCCAAACAAATCGAAACGCAGTTGGGAATCGCAAGACCCAGAAGCGATTTCCACTTTTTAAAACACTCCGACGAGATTCCGGGCCAGGTTTTCTCGTACACGCCGGAGACGACGATGTAGACGATTAACTATCCTGGTTGAAATTCGTCCACAGCGACACAGTAAATTCCCAAATTGAAAACAGAGATGAGGAGGAAATTGATGGGGGCGTGGAGGAGAAGGAAGGGGTTCGGTTGCCACCTGTACAAAATTTCATAAAAAAATATTTTTGTGAGCCCCACAAACTTTGCCAATTATTTTTGGAATTAGTTTAATTTTTAACGATATTAAAAGAAAAGAAAAACGGATGATACAATTTAGGGAAGTTTGAACCCTATAAATAGAAACTTTCGATCAATTGAACCATATTATTGGTGGGTGAAAAAATTATCATCTGAATTACCTGAATCATATTTAAATGCTTCAAATCAAGCCTATTTTCTCGATATCAAAATTTTGTCCACATAATATTTAATAAACTAAATTACAAATTTGGTCTATACATTTTTTAAGTTGGATATAAAAGATYCTATAATTTTAATTTTGTGTCTAATAATTTCCTAAACTTTAAATTTTTGTATGTAATAGATCCAACTTTCAATTCTAATTTTAGTCTACCTTATTAGATACCATTCTAAAAGTTCAAAAACTAAATTTATAATTTAACTTAGAGTCCGATATTTCAAATTTCAAATAGGTGACTCTAAGGAAGTGGATAAAGCTTGAGCCTTAGTAGTTGAAGAATTGAGATTCTTGTTTGAAGCATAAATAATTGTAATGAAAAATTTGGCTTTTCTGAGGATACCAAATCATCAAATCTCATAGAATCAGGCAACTAAAAATTAAACCAATACAGGAGATTTTCTAAAGGTTTTGCAGATGGCAAACAAAGCCTTTGTCAAGCAATGATAATCATACTATAATTTAAAACTTGGGGCATTGGAGAATTGGGTAGATTGATCGCACTCTCACTCAAGTTAAGTAGACACTGTCCAAGACTGCAAATCCAGCTGCAACCCCACCCTCATTTGATGAAGATGTTTTTGTTCTCATCAGGTAACCACAATGGTCATTTACAATTACTTTGTCCCTGTTCCTGCATATGAAATATAGTCCTAAATTTTAATAAGATGAAGAAAACTACCTTGAGATATAACATTGATTGACATTCCAGTTAAATGCTAGCAGTGCAAGCAAGTTGGTTTCTGGCCAAAATTGACAGTAAATTGAGTAAGAATACTACTAACAACTTTCCTACTAAGTACTAATATAACCTTAATACTCTAATAACTAATAGTATTCCTGTCATTACCCCGCCCCTGAAACACACCTTGTCCTTTGATGACGGCGACGGTGTGCAAAAAATGAGGGCGAATGGTGGAATGCATCAGACTGTGGTGCACAGTGGTGTTCATGTGCGACAGGCGAGGACAGGTGGTGGTGTGCATAGGCGAAAGAAGAGAGAACCAAGGCAGCAGCCACTAGGACTACTATCTGCCTTGGGTAGGGGGATGGCCATTCGCGTCAGTTTTCGGGTTAAACTGATAGGGAAACCCAGCCCAAAACCCATTTGCCAAAACCTTCGCTATTTTTGCCTTTGGAAAGAAATGAACCTCAACAACTTTATCTAAAATCAGCAAATTCAGCCCAATTACCCCCTTCGCCTCGGCCTCCATTTTTTTTCAAACTCCTCTCCATTCACGTGGGTCACTTGGGGTGCTTTCTCTCCTCTTTCTTTCATGATCCCACACCTTAAACAATCACTGCTATCTCATGAAGCTTCCATCGGCACCTCTACCAAGTCCCTTTCTCAAACCACATTTGCAATTATCGCCAGCGATGGCCTCCGCTGCCATTTTTCTCACTTTTTTTTTTCCATTTTCTTCATGATTATCCACCTCCCCACGAACATGGTGTCTGCTGAGGCTACATCTCCTCCGACATCTAAATCTCCTTCGTCTTCCTCAAGTTTTCAAACTTTGGCAAATTATCGGTCCGCCTCCCCTCAATTGCAAACCAACCTTCTTCATTTGTCCGGACTTTTTATTCCTCAACCTGCTCTTTTGTTCTCCCATACATCTTTGTGCCTTCAATCTCTTGGCACTCTCTCGCTTTAGTATTTTTGGTATTTTACCAAATAAGATGTCCGATTCTATCACAAATTTCTCTTCTCCCAATTTCACTTGAGTATTTGTCGTTGCCTTTCTGAAACTCAAAGATTGGAACACATTCTTCAATTGTTCCATCCCTTCATGTAAAATCTTCAATATCTCTTCACGTACAGCACCATCCAACTTAATTTCTAAGACCATAACCAAACAGCTCTGATACCAAATTGATAAAATCTGAACTATAATTATATTGAATATAAAAGATATAAGAATTACAATAACTCTCAAATAACTTGAGGTACTTGGACCCTCCCCTCTCTCGAATATTCTTACTCAAGCTCAAACCATACACAGTAATTGCCTACCTTCATTCTTACCCCCCACTCTATTTATAACAGAATCCTACTAACTTAGTTTCCTACTAAGTACTGGTATACTCTTAATACTTTAATAACTAATAGTATTCCCATCAAAATTCTAGATCAAATGCTTATAGCCATGGAGGTTATTGAGGAGTATAGTAGCCAGAAGCAAGAAGGGGGTCATCTTTAAGATTGATTTTGAGAAAGCTTATGACCATGTGGACTGTGATTTCCTGGATAAGGTTTAGGTAGAAAGGGGTTTGGTTATAAGTGGCAGTCTTGGATCTGGATTGTATAAGGTCGACTAGCTACTCCATCCTTCACTTTACTAGAGGTCTTAGGCAAGGAGACCCCTCTCCCCCTCCCTCTTTTTGCTGGTTGTGGATATTTTTAGTAGAGTGATTTCAAGTGGGGTGGAGGAAGGGATGATTGAGGGATTTCAGGTGGATAGGAATAACATTCATATCTTGCATCTTCAATTTGCAGATGATACTATTGTGATGATATTGTGATGATACTATTGTGAAGTATCTCCTCACATAATAGTATTTGATGTAGCAAAAGAAAAACCCCAAAGGAGATACAAACTCCCCACCAATTCGAGCGGGTGGGTAACCTCTCCTCCTAGTCTAGCACAAAAGCATACAACACAAAACAACCTCCCCACTAACCTGGAGGGATCTTTTCAAACACTCGCAACATTCATTGACCTCACTCTCTTGGCTGTAAGACCTTTTCCTCCTACACATCCCCCTTCTACCTTCTAGAATATGTTCTCATTACATGGGGTGCTATAGGTATAGGGGTCCTAATATCTATCCTTTTTTGTTCCAGCCAAGAGGAGCTTTATAACCCTTAATCCTTATCTAAACTCCTTTGAATCTATTTTCAGGTTGACGATAAATAGGGGAAAGTATTCAATCATAGGTTTAAACCATTCTTCTTGGAAGGTGGAGGCTTTAGGCTTCTCTTGTGGCGTGTGAGGTAGGAGTGTTTGCTTCTTATTTAGGTCTCCCTCTCGGGCATAACCCTAAGTGTCGTTACTTTTGGAACTTAGTCTTAGAGAAGAAAATTTGTTGTAGAAGAAAGACTTTTTTTTTGAGAGAGAGATTGACCCTTGCCCAGTCTATTTTGAGTGGGATTCTTTCCTTTTAGTGTTTAGGATCCTTGCAGGGGTTAGCAAGAATTTGGAAAGACTTATAAGAAACTGACATGTTGAGACGAGGCCTTACTGGCAAAACGGTGGTGGCATTTCTCTCTCGAGATGGAATCTGTGTGGCATAAGGTTATTGCTAGTAAATTTGGTTTCTAGGGATGACCGAGTTTCAGGTAGCTTTCAAAAATCCCTAGAAAGAGATTGCAACTGGGTTTCCTTTCTTTCTCTCAATTTGTCAAATTTTCTGTGGGAAATTGGGCTAATACTCTATTATGAGAGGATATTTGGTTGCGCGATGGGCCTTTTTGTGTCCAATTTCCTGGTCTTTACCACTTGGCGTCTTCGAAATTTAGTCTTGTTGCTTAATGCTTCTATCCTTCCTCCTTGGGTTCCTCTTCTTTCTTTTCTTTTAGATTTAGTCAGCCTCTTTTCAAGAGAGAGTCAACGAAGGTTATTCTTCTTATCGCTTTGTTAGCTGACCAGGTTCTGAGCTTGAGTGGTAGGGATGTTCATTTTTCGACTCTCGATCCTATTGGGGAGTTCTCTTGAGAGTCATGTTTTCGTCTTCTTTGTGACTTGTCTACTTATAAGAGTCTCATCTTGTCCTTGCTCTAGTAGGTAAAAATCCCAAAGAAGGTTAGATTATTTGTTTGCCAAGTCTTACTTGATAGAGTTAACACTTTGGATCGCATCCTGAGGCATTCTTCAATGTCGGTAGGGCAGTTTTGGTGTGCATTGTACAAGAAGGATGTTGAAGGCCTAAACCATATGTTATGGAATTGTTAGTATGCCTATACTATTTGGGATTGCTTCTTCCAGTTATTCCATCTTAGTTTGGCTAGACCTGGGGGTGCTCAGATAGATAAGGGTCGAATTCTTTGGCAGCTGGGTTTTTTCGCAGTGATCTAGGGTATCTGGTTGGAAAGGAACAATAGGATTTTCAGGGATCTTGAGCTACCTCCTGAGATGGTCTGGTCTATTGCTAGGTTTAACGCCTCTATTTGGGCATCGGTTTCTAAAGAGTTTTGTTCTTACTCTTTAGGTCCAAGTGTTTTGAATTGGAGTCCATTTTGTATAGTTAGCTTTCAAACTCTGGCTGTGGGCTGTCTTTTTGTATGCCCCTTGTCTTTGGGCTTTTTGCCCTTTTGTACTTGTTCTCTTTCATCTTTTTTCAATAAATCTGGTTTACAATAAAAAAATTCTTAGGTACCATAGGTGGCTACCATAGATTGAACCCGTTTCCTCTAAGCATTAACCCTAATGACAACAGGCTAACCCTTGATGATAAAAAAAAATTGAATCTTTGTTAAACTTGAACTGACCATCAGACCCAAACTAACAACAAAATGTTATCCAAACTAAATTCAGCCAACTATTTCTCGATCTTATACTTTAGAAAATCGAATTAACCTACTGGTATTTTTCACACCAGTCTAACTAACCAGTTTTATTGGTTATTTTAAGTTTTGGGGTTGGTGCACTTTGCCTAAGTTGTCTAGTTCAAGTAGAAGTCCTTGGAGGAACATATCCAAAGCATGGAAGCAAGTGGAATCGTTTTCCCATTTAAAAATTGGGAACGGTAAAAGGAGTTTGCTTTGGCATCACCTTTGGGTGGGAGATGTTTTGCTTAAAGATAGATTTCCAGCTATCTTTAGGATCTCTTCTGATCCTTTCATTGTGGTAACGGATGCTTGGGATAGCATTAGTTCTTCTTGGAGGCTGCCTATAGGCGTTCATTGAAGGATAAATAAGTCATTGAACGGGCAAATCTTATCCTTACTCGCTTCTATTTTCCTTAATGATTCAGAGGATCATCAAGTATGGAGTTTGGAAGCTTCGGGCTTTTTTTCTGTTCGATCGTTGAGTAAGTTCAGGCATTCGATCTCTAATATTCCTAAGGAAGTTTTATCTATTCTATGGAGCTCTTTTTGTCCAAAGAGAGTTAATTTTCTGGTCTGGATTCTTCTTATGGGCAAAGTTAACACTACAAAGACGCTACAAAAGAAAATGCCCGATACTTTGATGCAGTCATCGATTTGTTTAATGTGCAAGGCAAGTGGAGAAACCCAAAGACGTGTCTTTTTTTCATGTAGCTATGCGGAGGTTTGTTGGAAGAAATTCCTATCAACGTTTGATCTTTCATGGGTGTGGGATCTGGAGTTGCCTCAAATTATATTACAACTTTTCATTGGATTGCGAGCAAGCTCTAAAACCAATCTGCTTTGGGCTGTTGGGATAAAAGCTCTCCTATCCGAATTGTGGTTTAAAAGAAATCAACGGGTCTTTGAAGGTAAGAATCGTTCTCCAATAGAGTGCTTGTCAATAGCCAAATTCAAAGCCTCACAGTTCCGATCTCTTCTCTTCTTATTCTCCTAGTATGCTTTGTATGAATTGGGAGGCTTTTATAACTCCCCTTTAATGTGGTTTCTTTATGTTTATGAACTTTTTATTCCTTTTATTTTAATTATTTCTTTTATGTTCACTCCTTAGGGAGTTTGTATCTTTGAACAATTTTGTTCCTTTTCATTTATCAATGAAAATTTCGTATCTTGTTCAAAAAAAAAATTAAAGTTTTGACTCACTCTCTTTGAGTACTTCATTTGAAAGTACTACTCCTAACAGGATTCTCAAAATCAAACTATGAGGGCTACAAGCCACAATAAATTTTTTTTTGTAATTATAATCTCTTCATGATTGTCAAAGATTGAAAAGCTTCTTTGGTCTAGTTAGTGGGGAGGGTGTCACCCTCCACCCTTAGGCGTGCTTTGGTTTTG